ACACACACACACACACACACACACACACACATACATACATATATAAGCTTTACTGGTTTTGTCTCTCTAGAGGACCCAGTCTAACACAATCATAAGGATGGTTCATCGGTTTGTTATAACTCAAATATGTCATAAGTTAGAGACTACCTATATTACAAAATAAGTGAATTTCATTTTTAGTTTTCAGTAAATACTTCCTAAAAACTCAAGGACAACTGTGCATTCTCTCAAGATAGGTTCTAATTTAGAAAAACTTGCTGAAGAATGGTGGTGAAATTGCTTCTTGTAAAGTATACATTTCTTTTAGTAAAAGATGATGAATGTGACTCAGATGCTGAAAATGAACAAAACCATGATCCTAATGTTGAAGAATTCCTGCAACAACAAGACACTGCTGTCATTTATCCTGAGGCACCTGAAGAGGACCAGAGGCAGGGTACACCAGAAGCCAGTGGTCATGATGAAAACGGTAAATGGAACTTAACAGTTGTTTTCTTTTTCATCTTTAAAGGAATATTATTTCCATAATTCTAACTATGGGAACATACTCTACTAAAAAAAAAAAAAAAACCAAGCCCACTGCCATCGAGTGGATTCCAACTCATAGCGACCCCCATAGGGTTTCCAAGGCAGTAAATCTCTACAGAAGTAGATTTCCATGCTCTACTAGAGGGAGCATATTTTGAGAACCAAAACTTATTGCAGTTGCCTGTAGAGAGTATTATCTTTTGTTAATGGGACATTGTCTGTGATAACAGTACAGTATTATATTAGTGGCAGCTCACATATGCAATGGTAATGCCACTGACTGTGAGATGATTAGAACAATGCCTGAACATCAGTCTTCATTCACTCACATGGCAACAGACAGTAGAAATGGGAACTAGGGTGACCCTTATTGCCCTTTGATTCTTCTCCCACTATTCTTTTTGCAAGAGTATCATTGTGGTTCTAAAGTACTAATTTCAAGTCATAAGTTTTTCTGTATCTGCCTAATCCATTTGGTTATAAACAGTGTATAAATAGTGAGAAAATGCAGTAATAATTTGTTCATACTGCCCTTGAAAGAAATGGGCTGCCATTCTGCCCTTCCAATCACTGTAAATAGATGAAAATACTATGCAAATGTTCCTGTAAAAAATGTTATGGGCTCTGCATCAAGAATTATGGAGTTACTTGAAATATTTAAGGATGCTAAAGTAGGCAGATCCTGAATCTGGTTTTATTTTGCCATGGTTCCCAGTTTAATGGATAGATTTAGCTTTTTGTTGTTTTTGTTGTTATGTGCTGTGGAGTCGGACCCAACTCTTAGCTTAGTATTCAAATAATCAACTTTTAAGTTTTTGAAGGAAATTGCCAAGAATGAACTGTATCTTCCTAAACTGATAATAAACTATGAAAAAGAGCAGAAACAAAAATTCCACTCCAAAATAGAAGTTTTTCTATCTCTGTCTGTGACAGAGCAGGTGGGAAAAGCCACTCTAGAACTGTTTCCATCAAAAACATACATTTCTGAATAATGTAAATTATTGACCTTGGGACACTGCATTTCAGCTGCATCATTAGTGTTCTGTTAATCTTTTTGCATATTTGGAGAGTCAGTAGTTACTGGCATTGTAATCCTATAAGGCCCTGCCGTTTCAATTTTAATTTCTACATTTATTTTTTTCTTTTGAAGAATGTGTTAATGTTTCACCTGAAGAAGCAACAGATTACAGTAGAAATAAAAGGTATATAGAAAATAATTATACATACACACATACACTTGTATTTGTGACAAGACTCAAAAAGCTTCAATGAAAGACAAATACAGTTTTTAAATATCCATTGCATAGCTATACTAATTAAATCTTGCAAAATCTGTTATTATACATCAGCACAGTAAAGGCTCTCAAAAATTGGTGAACTAAGTAATTCTTCTGAATTAGTAGAAAGTCTGAATTACAGAATATATTTTTAATTCAGTTATTCATTACTGTCAGGTATATAATGTAATTTAACTAAATGCTAATAAAGTATTTCAAAGTAAACATTCTGTCACACTAGCAATGTCTCTTTATATGTAAATAGTGATTATCTTCAGAAATTAAAAATTTTAAGTAGATTAAATGTGCTCTATCAAAATCTTGTTTTATACATTCCCTTGCCAAGTACTTTTTTTTCCATAAATTACCAACAGGCAAACTGAATTTTCACAGTTCTGCATCAGTGGAGATCAAACAAATGAAATTTTTTTAAAAAAAAAAGTTTTATATCAATCAGTACTATTAGTTTGAAATGGTATGCTACCTATCAGAGGAAATATTAGGCTACAGAAAAGTAAATAATTTTGTTTAGAAAATATAAGCATTTATCATGGTTCTAGGTTCTAGATACATAAGTTAATTATACACACTGCTGTCGAGTTGGATCCATCTCATAGTGACTCCTCCTCGGGTTTCCAAGGCAGTATATATCACTATGGAAGTAGATTGCCTAACCTTCCTTCCGAGGGGTAACTGGTGGGTTTGAATCGCCGGCCTTCTGGTTAACAGTCTAATGCCTTAGGCACTACACCACCAGACCTCCTATAGACAGTTCAAAAATGTGCAAACATAGGTTTTTAAAAATATTGGATATAGCTGCTGTAACTTTCTTATAAAAATTATAGAAACATTTTCCCCTAAAAGTCATACCTTCATTGTTCTAAAGTAACTTAAAAAAAAAAAAAAAAAACTCCAACATTTTTCAAAAATAGAAAAAAAAAATTGCATTTAACTTTTAAACTTGTTCATTTTCATACATTAGCTTAATATCCTAAATATTCATATTTAGTTTATATTGCTTATGCTAGTGGCCTAGACGAATGAACTCATGTGTGAGAAAATTCAATAAATATTGATTTATGAAAATAATAATTTACTGTCAAAATATCATGAGCCACCTGTCATTTTACAGAATTATTGGCATTTCATTTATTAAATGTAAGGGTTAATCATGAAGGTAAAGAAGAAAACAGTATAGTGAGAGCAGACAGCTCTATGACACACAGAATATAGGCAGCTTGATGAATGATAATCACATTACACCATGGTCCTAATAATTAAAAACCCACAATGGTTGACTTTGACTTTTGCTACTGCACCAGCTAAACTCAATAAAATGAGCTAGGCAACCTAGCAAGCAGAACATTGTGGATGTTGATTTCTCACTTGCCTGAACAAATAGGAAATTCATATGGGACGAAGCATACAAATTTTCAAGGTATTTCCTCAACTAGCCAATTTATTCATCCAAAGAAGAGGATCATGTTAGAGTCATCCTCAATAGAAAATATTCTGATTTAAGTTGGCTTGTTATCTAGTAACTTAAGATATCATCATTTGGATGATTTGGGTTTGATTTTATTCACCTATTTAATACATATTTCAAAGTATTTAACTAGCTCTTTAGAGTTCAGGTGCTCAATCAATTATTTGAAGACTGGTCCTTGAGCAAGATATTGCATTTGTGTGGACTTAAATTTTAAGAAAGGTGATAGACTTTTAGTAAGTATATGTCAATTATTCTGAAATTTTCTTTGGTAGTTTGTTTTTCTGTAAAGATTTCAAAATGAAGATGGAGATGATATTACAATAATATGTCACTTACTTCCTTGAAAAAATAAATCACATGTAGAAAACTACTCAATTAACAAATTGACAAAATATTACATTTTAGGATTGTCAGGTTTAGATGTTTCCATGTTTAAAAGTATAGTTAATTCAGTGAACTCCAGTAGTTCCAGAATGCCTTTGTTCTCTGAAAGCTATCCTATACTCATACATATAAAATTATACAGAAAATGTGTCAGTGTATTTTAATAGCAAAACCATGAAGGAACATAGGAAGTCTTTATGGGCCGGTTCTAAAACTGTCACCCAATACAAATACATTCTTTTGTCAGTCATATAGCCACAACTAACCATAAGAGTGTCTGAGAAATGTAGTTTAGCAATATATGGCTTACTCCTTGACTACAATAGCTATAAAGTGTCATTTTCAAATCCAAAGGAATGAACATTAAATAAATAACAATGACATTGTTCCCAGGGGAAAGATTCTGTGTGGAGTACAAATCCCCTTTAATATGTATGTATTTATAAACGTATAATCTACATTCTCCTTTTTTTTTTTTTTTTTTTGGTCTAGTTAACCATACAAAGGAAGGGAAGAATTGTGATTTAGCAAAAAAGATAGACTTTAATCCTGACTTCATCATTTACTGGCTGTGTGATTTGTTTAACCGATCTGAGCCACACATTTTCTCTTTTATAAAACAGAGATAAGTAACATTGGATTGCTGAGGAGCAGATGTAAAACGAGTATCACGGTATCTGAGGAGAGCTTAGCTGCTAACGAAAAGGTTGAAGGTTCAAACTTACCAGCTACTCCATGAGAGAAAAATGTGGCAGTCTTCTTTCTTAAAGACTACAGCCTTGGAAACCCTATGGAGCAATTCTACTCTGTCCAATCGTGTCTCTGTGAATCAAATTGATTGGACAACGATGGGCTCGGGTTTGTTTTTGTTTTTTTGTTTTTTTGTTTTAGCACAATATCTGACACATTGCATAAGGACTCAGTGGTAGCTTTGGTAATATTTTCTGAATGTTTGGAGTTTAGAATATATGCTCTTTCTTTTACAGGGACACCAGATGCATTCTCTCAGTTACTCACCTGCCCATATTGTGATAGAGGCTATAAACGCTTTACCTCTTTGAAAGAACACATTAAATATCGCCATGAAAAGAATGAAGATAACTTTAGTTGCTCCCTCTGCAGTTACACCTTTGCATACAGAACCCAGCTTGAACGTCACATGACATCACATAAGTCAGGAAGAGATCAAGTAAGTGAAATGGCTGAGAGTTCACTAACTTTATAAATTTTGAGAACCCAACCTTCACAGAAGGCAAAGATTTTAATATACTTAAAGATGAAAAGGATATACCAGACAGTATCTGTCTACAGCCTTATAAAAATGAAAGTGATTATTTATACAAATGATCAGGTTATTTCTGAGTTAAAAAGCACATATGAACATTATTTTAGAGTTAACTAAGTTTTTTTTCTTTTTCTGATAAGATCCTGTTCATCTCAATTATTTTTCTTACACTATAACAAATATTAAAGACTATTCTGTAATTATAAATTACATCTAAACTATTGGTTTTATACTAAAAATTTAAAGTCAAAGAAGCTTTTACCAATTACCTTTCTTTTATAAGGTCCTGATAGCTATAAGTAAATTAAAACATAATTAGAAGCCAGAGTTTATAACCTAATTTTAGAGTTTGACTAATAGATGTAGGAGAGAAAGGCTAAGATTCAAATTAATATAACTCCAATTTCTAAAATACCGAACAGATTACTCAACTGCACAGAGTTATGTTAGGGTCTAAGCTGGGACTGGGCCACATGTCCAATTACTTATATCAAAGGATGATGACTATTGCATACTTGTATCTGTGAGAACTCTGCCCTACATACTTACCTGGTATAAGTCACATACCCTATAGAGAACAAATTAGACCCTTTACTAAGATGACAAATAAACCAAGCAAAAAAGCAATTGTAACAGAATAACTGAGCAGAGTCAGACTATTTTTTTCGGGAGTTAGGCAACAGCAATCATGAAAAATTAAGATAATGGGGGAAAGAGTGGCAATCAGTCAGAATAGGACTAAAATTTCCTAAGATAGCTAAAAAGAAATGGTTAAGTCTGTGAAGGAGCACGTGAAATGGAGGGTACCAAGAGAAGGAAGAAATTGTTACAGAGAAGAGACTACTAAAGTCAGATATCATCTATTTACCATTTGTCTGTATTGACTAGTCTTTGTAGGGACAGTACAGAAGAGTACTTTCTCCACTTTAGTGTCCTGAGGTGACTACAGTATAAATAATCCTTGGGAAAAAAGCCTATTCATGTGACATTTGGGGAACAGAACAATCCTCCAGCTGCTGCTACCATATCCTCTTTCTACCAAGAGACCCTGTCAAAGGAGAGGATCTCTGAAGGCAGATGGAATTGGTGGTGAAAGCAGGAGAGGCCATCATAAAAACAAACAGATCTCTGAAGAATGTGAAAGCTACTTTTGTGATGATTTTCCTTATACGTGCAAAGGTAGTAGATTTTATACATAAAATGTGTGTAAAGCTATTAACAAGGTCAGGAAGGAACTGTCGGTACCAGTAATGTGAGGAAATATAATTGGAATGTCCTGGAAACAATTTAGGTTGCTAGGCAAGAAACTAAAGGGTAGAATGTTTATCTTGCTTATCTTTGAAAATCATGCCCATGACTAAAAGATAAACAGCAATTCCATGTCTTATTAATTTATTAATTTTTCAAATATTTGAGTTTCTATTACATATTAAGTCCTGTCCCAAGTATTAAAGGAACAATTGTAAAGAAAACAAAGTCTCTGCCCACAGAGAGCATACATTAATAAATAATATTAAATATAAAACAGGTGATATTAAGAAAAATAAAGCAGGGTAAGAAACTAGTAAGTAATACAAGTTGTTGTTTTACTCAGTAGGGAAGACTTTCTGAGGAGAGAACATCTAATCTGAGACCTGAATGAAATGAAGGAGACAGTAATGGGATATTGGGGGAAGAGCAGGCCAGTCGGAGGAAACCATGAAAACACCTTGAGACAGAAACTTCCCTAGCATGTCCAAGAAACAGTAAGGAGGCCAGTGTTCCTGGAGCACTGTGTATAAAGGGGAACAGATAGATAAGGCCAGAGAAGTACGGGGTCCAGATAATGTAGGACCTTGTATAGGTCATGGTCAAAACGTTTTATTTTTTTCTAAAGTGTTATAGGGAAGACTTGGGAGGATTTTGAGAGAGAGGGGCACATATTCTGCCTTTTATTTTTAAAGGAACACTGGCTGTTGGGTGGAAAATAGACCAAGAGGGACAAGAATGGAAGCAGGGAAGCCATTTAGAGGCTATTTCTGTAATCCAGGCCAGAGATGGTGGTGGCTTTAAACTAGAGTAGTTTGTATGGACATGATACAGTAAGGAATGATTGGATTCAGAATATATTCAGATGGATTGCTTATAGATTAGATGAGGGTATAAGAGGAATCAAGGATTACTCCAAAGTCTAGGGCTTGAGCAATAACTAAATGAGAGTACTCATTCATAAGCTGACAAAGAGCTGATTGGCAGAAGAAAAAGTAAATTTTTGGTAAATCATGTCGTTTCAGTTACCTATTAGATTTTCAACTGGTAATAACAAGGAAGCAATGAGCTGTAAGCATCTGGAGGTGAAGGGAGAAGTCTAGAGATACAATGTGAGAGTTAGCAGTAAATATACTAACTATAAGTACAATGTTTAAAGCCATAGATTTGGATGACATAGAATACTTAGTAGGTGCACACTCTTTTTCCTACTTGTATGAAAGACCAAAGAAGGGGGATTTCAGCTTGGGTGAGAATGACACAAGTAGGACTTGTTTCATGTCTTTGAAGGACGGGTAAAATTTAAACAGCCAGAATAAAGGGGATACATAGCCAAGAAATAGTACAAACCAAAGCAGAGAAATTGAGAAGAGTAGTATGTATGCAAAAAATGTTACTCACTAAATGATTGAAGCATGGACTTCTTAGAACGGGTGGGGAGAGGATTCCAAGATGGCGGAATAGGCAGAAAGACTGCATAGATCCTCTTCAACAAAGAAAAGGGGAACCAATTAACACACCCACAGAAGATAATCCTGGACACCTGAGGCTTGAAGGGAAGGATGTGGAAGTGAACTAAACCCCAACTAGCAGAAGAATTTGCATGAAAATACCAAAAAAAGGAGACATAAAGAGCTGTGATCTGGCAGCGATCCTGAGCAATCTTGACGGCACAGACAACTTAGAGATTCCTGAATGGTGGTAGGACCTAAGAATTAACCTAAAAATCAGCCCTGCTAGCCAGGGACAGCATGGAGGACTGCTCTGGTGGCTGGGGAATAAAAGGGGAAGCAGCGGTGAAGAAGACGACGGGCTGAGCTGTGGACTTTTGCTTGTCTGGAAGGCGCCGCCATTTTGAATGTTTGCAAGAGGCTTGACCATTTTGGATATTTAAAGAGACAGCATTCTCCCACATTCCAGGGGCTTAAGAACAGATTCTGCTTGCCAGTAACACCAAGGACACTCCAGACCTGCACAACTAAAAAGGTGCGACATTCTTCTTGTTACTCTTATAACCCCACACCCACTTGGTGAATGGAGGTGCGGCCATCGCCTACTCCAACCCACCTACTGGGCCCACAGAAACTCCATCCCAGTCTGTGTGCTTGGATGAAGCCTGAGTGCCCTGCCCTGTCCTCCACTGTTTTTTTTTTTGTTTGTTTTTTCTCTTTCTTTTCTCTGGTGTTTAGTTTGCTTATATTTTTCTGTTTTATAACTACAATTATTAATAATATTTTTGTCCTTTTTACTATTATTCTTTATTCTTCCCTTCCCAGGTCCCAGTTTACAACATTTTTTTAGTTTTCCCTGTTCCTGGCTGAAATTTTTTTTTAATTTAAATTATTTCCCCCCTTTTTTTCTGCATGGTTAACCCCATTCCTTGCTTTTCTTTCTGCATTTTTCCCATTTTTTTCTTCATTACTCTCCTCTATCTTTTTTTTCTTATTGCCCAATACCCAGATATTGCAGGTTTTCTTGTTTTTTTCTTCTTTCTTTTTTTGGTTACTGTTCCTATGTGATTACATGGTATTTTTTGTCCATGTGCTTTTAGTTTTTTCATGGTTACTCAACTGTAATTTTTGTCTAACTGAGTGTGAGACAGCAACAGTCCCCATAAGATACAACTACACCCACACCTCCTGCAACTTCACTTACTGAGCGAGAGCAACCACCTCCTTCTCCACCAATGGACCAATGATGAAAAACCACCAAGAAGAGCCTGAATCACCCTTGTCTGCTCTTCACGAACAGTTTACAGAGAACTAAATACAACACCACAAAGTCTCTGAGACAACAGACCATCATAGTTTTCACAAAGAAGCAAGATAAAGTGGTAGAAACAAAGGAACAGGATATAGACCCAGAACACATCCCTGAGGAAGAAGCAGCACTGGAACTCTCTGATAAGGAATTCAAAAGAATTATATGTAGGTATCTTCAAAGGATTGAGAGACAGAC